AATACGGTTATTTTTTTAATGTTAAAAGAAATTCAAATAAAAAATTAATTAATCTGATTACTCAAAAATTTATTTTAAAAAAATACAATTTATTCCAACAGAATTTAAAATTCGTTTTAAAAAAATGATTCTAACATAATCATATTTCTATCGTTATTTAAAACATTGTCTTCGTATAATTTCAACTGATGATTAGTATGAACAGGAGCTAGATCTTGAGTACAACACCATCTGAAATATATTTCTTTTTATGAAAAAAAATGTTTGTTATTTATTTAATGCTATGTGCAGAGTAGCCACAAAATCATTATGCATAAAACCATGTAAGAGAATATCTCCCCCCGACAAATTCAATGAATTGAATATTAATCTGATAAGATATGACATGGTGGAAGTCCAGATTTGACTTACATTTGGTTGGAAGCATTAGGTATAAAGGAGAAGTTCTTAACTTTTCCTTGTGATAGTAAAAGAAATAACATATCAGGGACTACTTTAATGACTTCCAAATGTCATAGATGGAATTTGCTCAGAAAAACATTTAGATAAATTAAATTTGTTTGGAAAATAGAGAATAGTATAGATAAGTTGGGACTCTATGGCCACTCTGTACATTAATTTTACTTCAAAAGTAAAGAGTTTAAATGTTTTATAGTTTAACATTTTTAAAATATTTAAATAAATAAATTTGTTAATATAAAATACAATGTAATATTTAAAATAACACAAGTAGCAAAATGCAAATTATACCTGAATGCTATAATATTATCTTGCTCACTTTGAGTATTAGAAGCATTTTCAATCAACAATGAGCCTAAAATTTCAAAATTGTAGTTTAAAAAATGTATTTATTCTAATAAAACGTGTAATATTTATATAAAAATAAAATAATGCAAATGAAAATGGAAGAAATGGAAGTTAAACATAAATTTATATTTAAAATTGATACAGTATGTAGGCCTAGATGTAATTTAAATTTTTTCTTTTCTTTTGTTGTTCATAACACATTTTAATCGTACTGTATATAATACACTATTAAACAATATTACGTTAGTATTGTATCATAGATTAGTCAGTAGTAAATTACCAATTACATGATTCCTGGTAAAAATGCATCTTTCGTTAATTCAATTCCTTAAAAATAAAAAAGTTATAATTATGGCACATTTATNTACAAACCCACGAATGAACTCCCAGTGTTCAGGGAACAAAGACCGCTTGGCCACTGGTGGGCCCAAATCAAATTTGTAAAACACTTTGTAAGATTCTTAGTATTTATTGTATTTCATTGCAACATAAGTACATGAAACTGCAATATTATACCAAATTCTATTGAGTTCTTTAATAGTTACAAAACTACATAAAATCAGAAGGCAAATGGCATACATTTAATCCAGCAAAGTTTAAACTGTTAACAGATATTTTTAGCTTTTCAAATAATCAACAGATTTTTGTGTATGTATAAATAAAAAAACTTATTATTGTATCACAATACTTATTTTTATTATATTAATATTTTATTTTTTTCATTTGTATATTCTTCCCATTTTTACATGTAGTCTTGTAATTTAACACTTTAATTTCTTTGGTTGTAGAATGTTTTAAAAATTTGATAAACTTTTCAATTAAGCATTACAAATGTGTAATTTTAAACTTAAAAGTTTATCAAATTTTAAAACACTGTTGCCTAAGACAACTATTAAAATAGCTTAACACATTTGTAAACTAGTTTTATGAACCAAACCTAATATTTTATTCAAGAGTATAATATAAATTTTTTTATTACTTTTACGTTTTTAACAAAATATTCTCATTTGAATATTAGTTTAAAAAAGATCATTGTTATTACATTGATTGATTGTTACTGTATATAAAATTTTAATTAAAATTTAAATATTAAATTTATTTATAAAATTTCTAAACATTTAAAACTTATAAGCAAAATATGCTATACCTGACTATCACGTAAATAAGAAGCTATTCCAGTATCTTCCATATAACCTTGACCACCAAAACATTCTAGTCCTTCAGAGACAACTGCCACAGCCTTAATTAGTGAATAATTTTTATTAAAATATTTCTTTAATAAGAAATAAATTTTAAGCTATAATGTGCACCACTACTTTTTATATTTGTACTCCTTCTGTTCTGTGGGCACCTTTAGTACTGTACCTAATATATCAAAGTATGTAGCTTTATTCTTACCATTTTCTGTACTATCTTCTAATCTTTCATCTATAAAAAAGCTATAGGTACCAACTTTGAACTCAAGTAACAATTTAAGAAATTTTTTGATAATATCAAAACAATCTACATTTCCAAATCAATGCACAAAAACATTTATTTCACATCATTTAAATCAAACCTTACTTAATTGTACTGTAAGTACACGAAAATTTGGATTTTCCTTCTTATCTGACTTATGGAGGCGTGAAACCTTCTTAACTCTAAAGCATTTGCTAAATGAAATAGAATTAGAATAAAAACTTAAAAAAGCAAACCAGCTTTTCTTTTGAGAGAGACTATTTTTTATTACAGTTTACATGAAAGCCTATTAATATATACTTACCTATATAAATACGAGCTAATGAGTATGCTAAGTCTCTAGCTGCTGTAATTAACTTATCAGGATTTTCTTGAATAAAATTTGTAGTATTGTGTAAGGCCAGTTCAACGATGCTTTTAGGTTCTTGCAACTTTCCAGAATCTGAATGTAATCTAGATAAAACATTTGAATAATATGCTCCAAAAATTTCAGTACCATATTTTCTTAAACTTCTAAGAACATCTAATGACAAAATATTAGTTGTTCCTTCCCAAATTGGCAAAACCTTTAAATGAAAAAGAAAAGAAAATCTTTGTAAAATTTAAAGAATTCAATAAAATTTCGGTTTTTTACAGAATAAATTATAGATAAGCATAAAGTTAAAAAATTATTTTAACTAATTGGGGTTTATTAATACACAAATATGTTAGTTAATAAAAATATTATGCAAACATACAATTTTAAACAATAATTAATAAACAGCTATGGCAGTCTTCCTATNGGCACCACACCATTATTTAAATTAACAGAATTATTTTGCGTAACAATTGCAAAATGTTCTTTAACTTTTCTTTTTACAGTATTTATTTCTTTATACATTATTTTTACCTCATTAACATTAATTTGACAATTATTACTATTACAATGCAAAAATACCAGAGAAGTATTGACCTTTAAACGTACTGCGGCAAGATGTTCTGACAGTCTGATTTTCAACTTCCGTTTTGTCTCTCCAATGTAAAAATTCTCTGCATGTACTGTACATTGCAATCTGTACTCAACTCCTTCCTCTTCCAATGGATCCTTTTTTGTATAACAAACTTTCATCAGTTCCGATAGTCTGTTTTTTTGAATTGGAACTAATTTTATTAAAGTTTCACTCAAAATTTTTTGATATTTTTCATATACACCTTTAATATATGGAAACGATACGTACTTTTTATTTTTTTTTTTGTCTTTACTTTGTATCTATTTAACATGAGGTCAACATACCATTTTTTTAAAAGATTTCTTGGGTATTCATTTAACAGGAACTTCTTATTTACTATCTTGACTTCTTCTTCTCTTACATTGGGTTTTGTTGTTCTGGAAAGAATCTTACTAACTTCCATCAAATATATATTTCTCTCTTGATTTACAGAACAATATGATTTAAAATTTATAACTTTTTTAGCATTACATGGTTTTTTTGTACTTACTATATTCAAGATGATTATCAAATTGTTCAATTGTTAT